AGCTACCTCCATAGAGCATTAATTGGTAGTTAGCAAGTGGATCAAGAGACAGAGATACATTGATTATATTGTAATAAATTAAACATATCCAGTTGCCAAGATTTTGCCAACATTTTAATCCCTTTTTCCTCTTTCAGTAAGTCTGGTTGAGGAAGACTGTGATTATCTTGCCTTTTTGATTGTAACAGGCTGCTAAGGGCTTGACAACTCCAAGTAATAGTAATACTTTTTAAAAATTAAAATATAAAATTTTATTCATCTTGTCCATTTTCACTTCAGCATTGATCATCTTCAAAGGACAGAGTACAGATTTCCCTATACAAACATCTCACACTATAGGTGTAGGACATCATGCCATATTATTAATTTCATTTTTACCTACTTAGCAAAACAAAACACAACACCAATTTGTCAAATTATTCAAATAGGCTGAATATTCCTATTTGTCTCTCATGCCAATGTTAAAGGGGAGGATGCCAGATAAAGTCACCCCATAGAATATTGGTGGTAGCGGTGGCAGTAATTATCAAGCAGCTATACCAAGACAGGAAGTATGATTAAAGTATGCCAAACTCTCAAGAATATCTGATTGATGAGAGCTGAGACTTCCCTTCTTTCATCTTAGAGGATCATCCATGCTACATGCTATGAAGTTAAAAAAAAAACATGGTTTGGAAAGATAGAACATAGAACATATAATAACAGAGTTGGAAGGAACTTGGATGTCTTCTAGTCTGAACAGACCTTATTCAAATAAGGCTGGAGATAACACTCCATGACAAAACATTAGCAGGTTTATACTTTCAATTGTATAATTCAAATAATAGAACAGTATTTGTTCTATTCTTGTTGCTTTATTTGTAAAATATATAAGAGGGCTTCGTTATCTCTTCCTGTCCCACAAGGTTGTATAGGGTGGTCATGCTATAGGTTTCCTCTATGAAACAATGCCATCTAATGGGACCTAGGGGGATGCCTTCTTTGTTACACTGCCTACTCTTTGAAACAACACATTGCAAAGTTCCCTGAGGTTCAAACAGTATCGCCCTATTGGTCTTCCATAGAACTATGAAGATCTGACTTCTCTACCATGTACTGTTGCAGAATGGCAGATGAACTCATTGTATGATGTGCATTTTTCTTTTCACCATTCTCAATTAGGTATGGATCAGAGGTGGTATTCAGCAGATTCTGACCATTCTGGAGAACCGGTAGCAGAAATTTTGAGTAGTTTGGAGAACCGGCAAATACCACCTGAGTGGAGATTTTACAGTATCCTTCCTCTGCCATGCCCACCAAGCCACGCCCAATGGTGGGATTCAAATAATTTAACAACCGGTTCTCTGCCCTGATGATTTCTTCCAACAAAAGGGTTCACCAAACTGCTCAGAAAGTTAAATGGTTTTCCCGAAGTGGTGCAAACTGGCTGAATCCCACCAGAACTGGTAATAAAAAAAATTTGAATCCCACCTCTGGTATGGATGTTGTTTTCGTTGTGGTTTTCTGGTTTTCATATTATATTGTTTCTTTCTTGGTTTTTTTTGGTATGCACCCAAACTCACAAATTGTAAAAGGGAGAAGCCACATGCAGTAACAGATTTTCTTCTATATCATTGTATGTAGAATTATACTGTTTTATATATTTTGAAAAACAAAAACCCTAAATGTACCTTCATTAGTTCACTAACATTTCAGTCAGTATTTCTTTTGATCAAGCCTTCCTGGATTAAACTTTTGAACTGATAATAGATGTTAACTTCACCTCTTCTAAATAGGTATAAAAAGAATTAACAATAGATATTAAAAACAAGTATCTTAGCAACTATTCTGACTTTCATGTATGTGATATACTAACCTCCAATTTTCCATGTCTGTTCTATATTTATTCTAGTCATGACTTTAGAGAATTCTTCAGAAAAAAGTATACATATAAACACAAACATTATATGGCATTTATATTGGAAATCAACAGCTTGTCTGCATTCAACAAATGAAAGTTATCATCTATATATCTTCTACGAAAGACTGTCTTAGTGGCACTCCAAAAAAAAAACCTTTTTCACAATATGGTTTTGAAGAGAAAGCATACTGTAATATTTGAGGCCCACACTTATAATGCTATATGAAAAAGAACTGAACATGTGATATGAAACACAAGTAGCCCCTTTTCTTAATACCGCTACTCTTCATAGAGAATAGAAAACTTCTGTTGCTGATTCATTGTCCTATTCAAGAAAGTGCTAATTGGAAGACAACTTGCTCCTTCTACAGTATTTTACTTTTCCCCCTCCTTTTACCTTTGATTCAGGTGAGCAAAGCAGAGAAACCCTGAAGTGCCCTCTCAGTCCAGAACAAATGATCATTCATAAAAAGTTCATTTAAGATATAGCAGTGTTGACAAAGCCAAAAGGAATTTATGAAAAAGTACTATTTTTCTTCATAAGACAAGGAAGTAGGTTCCTATGAAATTTTATTGTCTTATTATACAGGGACTATATTATGCAATTATTTATTAATTGATACTACCCTGAATAATTATTGTTCTGTCCACTGTGAGGTATAATCAGTCAACTGAATTAATAAGCAGGGGTGTAAGCAAGCTCTGGTATTCCTACTGAAGCTGTGTTGCTCGGTTAATTTTCATTGTTCATTGTACCTTCCAGTATCTACATAGGGAGGCCATATTCCAATGTAGATGATGTAGATATTGGTATTATCTCTATAACAAAGATAATTTTGTTAATTTGAAAAGAAAATGGAGATTAAATGTGAGTAAAACTATAGGATAAATCTAACTAAAGTATACTTCAAATTCTTTGCTGCTGTGTTATATTATTCAGTCAATGCTTATTTCCCTCCTTTTAAATATGTTGATCTCACAAAAAGGAATTTCATTTTTTGTAGTGTTTTCCTCCAGTAGGTTTGGTAATCAACAATAAAAATGCACTTCGTATGGAAAATAGAACAATTAAGCCACCAAAAGTAGTAATTACAATGTAGACTAGAAAGATGTTGATTAATATAATGCAATTGTAATGCTGCTGCTAAAAAGATTTTAAGGGACTTTAAATATATTGTGATAATACACATTTACCCCTAGTACTGGAATGGTAACCTATTGAGAATCCAATGTCAATTCAATTTATAGCCACTGAAACATCCTTTGAATATCAAATAATACAAAATAATTGTTTCAATTCAAAAGTATAAATTAATTCATGGCAATCTTCCATTGCTGTGGAAAAGGAGCAAAAAGAGCAGGAAAGAACTAGATAACTCTCTCCCTTCCCCCCACTCAGCAATCCCAGTTCAAATCACTATGCCCAAAATTATTTATGCTTAGCTAATTCTAAATCACTTATTCAAATGATATCTAAATGGTGTATGTTGTAAGATATTCTGTTTTTCCTCAGGATTTTTAGTGGCCTCCACATCTTCCCTACTAATTTAGACTGTTCGACTCTCTTAACCGGATTATCTTAAACATGGTTTTTCCAGTTCACCCAGGCTGCATTTTCAAAACATTCTGAACTGTACACCAGTCACCTAGGGTGGTTTCACACATAACACACTATATTAAAATGGAGCTGGCTAGTTGATGGGTTCAATAGATCATGTAATGTCTGCCTTTGAAGCAGCTGCCTTTTGAGGAGCGAGCTGCATGGGACTGGGTTATCTTATCTTTGGATTCCTGTTTGGGAGACCTAGGGCAGATTGAGGCTCTTAAAAATTAACCACAAAGACCCAAACCCCAGAAATCTGTTATCAATGAGCTGCATAGCCATGCAATGTGCAAAGAAAGCAGCCCCTTTGATCATTTTTTACAGGTATTCCTCGACTTATGACCCCAATTGAGCTCAACATTTATGTTGCTAAATGAGATGTTTGTTAAGTGAGCTTTGCCCATTTAATGACCTTTCTTGCCACCACTGTTAAATGAATCACTACCGTTGTTAAGTTAGTAGCATGGTTGTTAAGTGAATCTGGCTTCCCCATTGACTTTGCTTTGTCAGAAGTTTGCCAAACGTGGATCCCATGACCCCAGGGACACTGCAACCGTCATAAATATGAGTCTGTTGCCAAGCACCTGAATTTTGATCACAGGGCCACATAGAGATGCCACAATGGTCGTTAAGTATGACAAATGGTCGTAAGTCACTTTTTTCAGTGATTCTGTAACTTTGGATGGTCACTAAATGAACTTCTGTAAATTGTGAACTACCCATATTTTCTTCAGGAAAGCTAACCAGGCCATTGGAGGTATGCATTCCCGTGGTTGGGTGGGTGAGTAGGTGTCGTATATGCCCTCCAATTGAGTCAATTGGGTAAACCGAGGCACAGCTCCCTATTTTTGGAACAAACCCACTTCAGTTCCCCTCAAATCCCAATTCACAGAACATAAAATTTAAACCCTGCCTGACTAAAAAAGAGATGCTTTCCCCAGAGTAATTAAAAAACCCCACAGAGCACTTTTTTTCCACGGCAGGGTCATCTGACTCAAACATTTAACGTACTCCGCACGGAGACCCTCTCCCTCAGGGGTCACAGCTAATCCCCACCACCCTTTCCAGAACCCACGGAGAAGCAGCCTCCCCCACTCCCTCGGCTGAACTTCGGGGGAGGCTGCGAAGTGTCCCCCAAGAGAGACGAAGCGCCTCCGCCCCGAGTGCCCAGTCCAGCAACGAGGGAGGGGGGACGCCGACCGAAGGGGAGGTATTCCGGAGAAGAGGCGCCCGCCTCTCGCCCTGTTGCTGCGCCTCCCTCATCTCCCCCCCGTCTCCCCTCTGCTTCGGTGGCTCCTCCTCAGTTTTTCCACCTATGCCGCGGGCGATAATAAGCCGAGGAACCGGCGCCCAGGCGCGGCGGGGCGGAGGGGAGGGGAGGAAAGAGAGAGAGAGAGGGAAAAAAAAAAAAAAAAAGCTCCAACCCCAACCCGGGAAAGCCAAAGGCATTCGCGCCTGACCTCAGCGCTGGGAAGCGGCCGCCCAGCGGCTCACGCGGCTTGACCAATAAAAGCGCAGCCGAGCAGTTCGAGAGCTTGCCGCCGTCGCTTCTGCCTCGCCGCTCCCGACTTGACTGACTTGACCTGAGCGCCTCGAGGTGACAGCTCGACCCGGCCGAAAGGATTGGACTCGGGGGTCGGCTTGGCCGGCGAGCGGAGGGCAAAGATGCTGTTTTGGCACACGCAGCCGGAGCATTACAACCAGCACTCGACGGGCAGCTACTTGCGGTGAGTCAGGCGAAGGCGAGCAGCCCGCCGAGAGGGTCGGAGAAAAGGACGCGGGATGCCCACGAGCCTCAAGGGGAAAGAAGGGGAAAAGATAAAAAAAAAAAAACCGCGCGTGGAGGATCAACCGGTCAGGAGAAGCGAAAGTGGCTGCTGAGGAGAAACCATCGCCCGCTACTTTGGCGAGGCGGCGTTGCATTGGGGCGGCGACGGCGGCGGTGTCGCTTCGGTCTGAATCTGGGGAAGGGCTGACACGAGAGAGGTTTCTGAAGCGAGGGGCTGGGGGGACGGGGACGAGGGCGACCCGAGGGCATCTTAACAAGCGCGAATCAGCCCGTGTTCTTCAACGTGCCCTCTTCAGGAGGGATCCTGAGTTTTTGGTGAGAGGCGTTGGTGGGGAAGCGGCCGGCGGTCCTGCGGGCGGGAGGAGCGGAGAACGCAGCTTTATAATGGGAAGAACCAACCTGCGCCCGGAGTTTGGATGGTGTTGTACTGTAACGTATCGCAATCTCGGTCCCGAACGGCTTTTTTCGGGTAATTGGCTGCATCACTGATGGCGAAAGCTCCACTCCGCTTTAAAAGTTTTGACATCATACGATGAACGGTGGGGGAAACAACAAAAGAAGGGAAAGAGGAATAAGAACAACCGAATGGCTGGTTTTGTGAATAGACAGGTTTTACTAACAAGGATTGTGCCCTTTTCCCCCAGATCAATGAGTAAGGTCCAAGTTATAAATCTATAGAGATTCTCGGTCATTCAGCTCAGGGCTGTCCCAAAGGTGCTTTTTTTTTCTGAAGAGCTGAGGAAGCTTCTTGCATGAGAAGTTAAACATCTTCCAAGAAAAACCAGAAAGCCCAATTGCCTCTTGGAAAAAACAAACAAAAAAAACCACCTTTGGGACATTCAAGTTATACATAAACGCTGCTTGAGCGTCTTTATTTGGGGATGACTTCCTGGATGTTAGAATGTCTGAAATGGGTCGATTCCATCCTGGGAGCCTGTTTGCATTGTGGTTACTCTACAAACCGGGAGAGAGGGATGTATCTAGGTTGTTACACTTTCTATGAACTGCTGCCGGTTCTCTGTGTAGTGGAATATATTGGGGTACTTAATGACCACTCTCCAGAGTGGATATCTGAGAAATATTTAAAGAGGTGAATATTGCAGAAAACTTCTGCCAATTACAGCTCCTGTTTCATATCAGTGTGTGGGTTAACTATTTTCAGAGTTAACTATTTCAAATCAGGCTAATCAGATTAGTTAAAAGTGTGTGACTTAGGGAAACTGGTTTATGGCAGAGTCTGAAGATGGAAAGATGGTACACCATATAATTTGGACTAAATAACCAGCAGTCTGGCATTCTGTGGTTCCCCCATTTGTGTCTGTCAATTATGGTTTTTAAAATCTCATACTTTTTCCCCTCACTGCCTGTTGTGGGAGGTTCAGTGTTGAACTGTTGTAATATACTATGTTGTGAAAAGATTAAGACATTTACTAAATCATAAATGAAATGCTATTCTAATTTGGCAGGCATATCTTTTCAGTAACCTATGACTTTCTTTTTTGTGAGTATATGCCTTATAGTCAGTTTTGACTCCTGACAATTACCTGGACATGTCCCTGCAGTTTTCTTGGCAATGATTTTTGGAAGTGATTTGCCATTGCCTTCTTTATAGGGCTGAGATAATGATTGGCCCAAGATCACCCAGGTGATATACTGCCTAAGGTAGGACTAAAATTTGCCATCTCCTTTTTTCTAGCCCGCTTTAAGCAATACACCAAACTAACTCTCCATATAGAACTCTGCAACTTTATATATTCGTACCTACAAATGTATGAATCCATCTTATCTTTATTAGAATCCAATAATCAATGAAACCAAAGGATCTTTCAATATGAAAGATGTAGTACCAAAAAGCGAGAAATAGAAGCAGAAACATTTAAAAATAAGGCAAGAGTTATAGTGGTTATAGTGTGTCTCTGTCTTAGCTTCTAAGGTTCAAAACCTTTGTTTTTGCTGCAGTTCCTTATGCAAATCCATGTCAGAATATGCAGTGATAATGCAAAGCACTGGGTGGGGTGGGGTGGGGGAACCCACAAGAAGTAAAAGAAAAGGAAAGCAGGAGATAAGAAAAAAAAGAAAAGGAAATGTAACTGAATCAACATTCCACAAAACTATTAATTAAGTCATTCTATCCCTGCAAGTCATCCTTGCTTCAGCCATCTCTCTGGGGTATCTATAGACACATTGCTGTTTAAGAAACAAAAGATCTTGTGACATTTCAAAGCAAAGAAAAATAACCAATTTTAAAGATTGAAAACTGTCCAATTTATTATAGCATAAAAGTTTTGAGGATATCAGGTATCAGGTTTCCATCAGAAACTCCATCGGAAACTCTTGTTAAGTAGACTGTGATCAACAAAACTTTCATATAATAAAAGATGCTTAGTTTGTTGCAGAAAAAAACCCAAACATAATCCACAGAGCAGTCCTTCTTAACTAGATGTAGATGATTTTTAAAAGAAAATAATATATTGGTTATATTGAATAAAGATGCTCAGATGAGGTTGCCTGAAGTAAATCCATTTAATAAACACATTTGGAAAACACAAAGTGTTCTTTCAGAAGTGCCAAGCACTTGTGGATTTAAAAGACTGTTCAATGATTCTTTAAATCTGTGGCCTCAACCCTGCCCCCTCTACCCCACCCGTTTATGCATGATGAGTAGTTCCTTTAATTAATTTTACTTACTGGACTTGATGAATCCAGTTTTTTCCTGCCTTATTTCTATGTTATTCATGTTTTACTTAAGTATCCTTAAGCAAAAAAGGGAACAGTGAAAGACCAAATGGAAGGACTTCCTTTGAGCCCCCTAAGAAGCAAGCCATAAGTGGAGGACTCCTTTGTTTTAATATGATTTTATGTATGTAAATTAGGAATTTTTTTAAAATGTAAAATTGTTCATGCTGCTTAAAAATACATTGTTTGGCAACATCTTTTAGAAGCTATCTAAAATGCCATAATAAGTAAACGTTTTTTCAGAGTTCCATAAGTCTTCATCAGATTGGATAGAATTGAGGGTAAGGAAAGCAGAATTGGTTGAGTAAAATCAGAATCACAAATCATATTGTTTGTTTGGCTTGCGTTTGTTTCTGTGTTAATTTAGTCATTGTGCCTGAGAAGCCACCTTTCTTGCTTAGAAGTTTTAATGTCTTAAATGTCTTGTTGAAAGCAAGAAGTCTTGCTAGAAGTTTTAATGTCATTATCTAAGGATATGTGTTTCCCAAAAGGTGGTAGCACCTACCCAATCTATTCTAAACTTGGAGCTTAGCTTACTATTTGGATAAAAAAATTACAAGGAATACCAATAGATATGCTAATTAGAAAACAAAACATCCCAGAGAAATGTAGTGATGCACCAAGATAACTTCATGTTTCTATGAAGTCACCAGGAGCTGAATATGACTTGAAGAAAACTTTACAGAAGGTTATAATATATTAAGTGAAACTTGAGACCTGTCGCATAGCATTTTGCTGACTCTAGTCTAGTTAAAGCATGTGAGAATTTGCTTAGGTCAGGAGCCAGGTTTCTTAAACCTTAAACCAGGTTTCTTAAACCTTTTCCCCTCTTGTCCTTCCAATGGGGTACATTTCAATTTACAGATTTCCTCAGCCAGCAGCATTATCCTGCTGGTTAAAAAGTCTGGGAGTTGTCATCCTTACTTACCTATCTACTTTTCAATAGATCTGAAAAGGGTAAGTAAATAATTGACGCACAAATGTGGATAATGCCATTTTGCCAGCTTAACTTCCCAGAGGCAAACACAAATACTTCTGAATTTGCTGAAGTCTGAATTTGCTGAAGTTCTGAATTGAAAGATAAGGAACCCTGCTATGATTGTTGTCATTTTTAAAGTTGTTTTTCCCATGCATGGGGGCGGGGGGGACTGCTGTCTTTAGCTTCTCTCATCACTGCTCATCTTTGTTAGATGCATCCAGTGCATTTTTCTGTTCTGCACAATTCCGAAAAGCACAAGAATCATCTGAGATACCTTTGCTGGACTGGAGTAGAAACTACCATTGTTTCAATCTTATGTTTCAGTTAATATAATAAAATTATGCTACAGGACATTCAGGCTAATCATGTTTAGCCAATATATTGCATGGAGCCAGGCCATGGGATGTTTATGATACAATATATTGTGCAAATCCAGAAACTGAAGTAAATTCATTAATTTATCCACGAATGAGCAAATAGTGTAGAACAGTTGTCTTGCCACCAAGGTGAATTCATAGCAGGCTTGGTGGAAGCTGATGTTTCATTGTACAGTCAGTTCCCATCCATATGTGATTCCCAGGTACTGCTTATGTTCTTTTAAAACCTCTGTGTGAAGGACAGAATCCTTTGAGGCTAACACTGAGTCGGTCTTTTTAATGATTTTGATAGAATTAAATGTAACAATATTTTGCATTTTTGTCTCGACTATTTTCATATCATTCAGCCTGCTGTTACTATACATTTATAAAGTGATCATTGGTGTAAGGAAGGTTTACCTGTATTATTTCTGATCAAGATAGATTTCCTTGAAAAACACAATATAGTTCCATTTAATTTGGAGCTTAAATTCACAGCAGTCTGATGCTTCTTTGGTTTACAGAAAATCCTAGTACAGAGTAAGTGTCTTTAGATAACTTCACAACCCTGCTTTGTTGCTTGCATAAGACACAGTGACAGAGTTTACCCAGCACTGAAACAAACCAGACTACATAATGGTTTTCCAGAATGTGTGAACCCAGCCCCAAGTGCTTATTTCTGATTGTTACTTTTAACTGTACACAGAATGTATTCTTAATCCCTAATGTTAACATTCTGGTGGGGTGGGCGAGAGAAGGAAAGTAGGGAGAGAAAATTCCCACGTTTTTCCAACGTTGACTCTAAGAAGAAACTTAACAACTGCATCAATAACTTAACAACTGCAGAGGTTCACTTAACAACCTTTGTTAACCTGTGTTAAGAAAAATCATAAAATGGGGCAAAATCTTTTAACAAATATTTCAATTAGCAACTGAAATTGTGGGCTCAATTGTGGTCGTAAGTCAAGGATTACCTTTTGTGCTAGTTATGGAAGCAGGGAACCTGAAGAGTAAGCATTCTTCATTTGGTTACCAATGTATATATAGGGCATGTTATTTTGTTTTTTTATAAAGAAATGTTCTCTAGCCCAGATTTTCTGGTCAAAGGCTAATGCTCTCTAGTCCTTGTTCAAATCAGTAGCAGACTAAAATTAAATGCGGCCTTATGAGATTTATTTCCTGTATTTCTACCACCTAAACAATATTTCCAGCAATATAATTATAATTTTCCTTCTTTGGATCTTAACTTTTCTGATCAAGAAGACAGCATAGCTTTAAATGGATTCTTGAATGTGAAACTGAACATACAATTTAAATGAGGGAGATTTATTATCCCATTGTTCATCTACTTCCTTAACTTCACTGGATGTTTTAAAATTAGCATTTTCCCACTGGAATTGAACTAAGCATATACTCATGAGAATCAGGTAAAATAGATGGGGGCATGGGAATTGGAGTACGAGGAAGAGAACATGAGTCTGTGGAGACCCCCATCTAGATGTAGGCTTCTGGGCAGAACTGAAGTGTAAGAATTTTGAGTGTGGGATGATTCTGGAAAGGGGCAGGTCTTGTATTCTTTTATCTTTTCTCGTCTTCTTTTTTTCATCTGTTTTTGTAATACTGCAAACAGCAAGTCTTCTGGGAGGGAGGCCTGTGATTTCACCATGTGCAATTCTGCTACCAGCCCAGCCCTTGGGATGGGTCAGGCCTATAAAACTAAATCTTTCAAAAACAATGGCTATAGTTCACTGTAAGGGATTTTTTTCATAAAAGAAATGCAAATATGCCATATAAAATGGCTGGGGGTGGGGGTGGGGGAAGAAAGAGGTCACACCATCTGGAAAGTTTTCCAGCCCTGGAACAGCAATCTCAATTTAGCTCTGAGGTATATAACAATAGGTGTTTCAGTGTGGAACCTATTAAAGGCACCGTGATGTTTTTCCAGTATACATGCCAACAGATAATAGGGAAATATCCTTTACTACTTTCCTTAAAAAATAATAATTCAAAAATTAACCCTTGTTTATGTTTTCTAAGGATAGAACATGGTTTTGGACAATTTGGAATGCCAAAATATGACATTATTCTAATTTAAGCATATTTCCAATCCACTTCATCCTTCAATCTGTTCTGAACTAAGTGCAGACTTTCTTGTAAGAATGTCTACCGGTAGTCCTTGACTTATGGCCATAATTTAGTCCAAATTTTCTGTGGTTAAGCAAGACAGTTGTTAAGTGAGTTTGTGCCCCAATTTATGACCTTTTTTGCCACAGTTGTTAAGTGTAGCACTGCTGTCGTTAAGTGAATCTTTCAGTTATTAAGGGAATCTGGCTTTCCCCATTGACTTTGCTTGTCAGAAGCCAGCTGGGAAGGTTACAAATGGGAATCACATGACCCCAGGAGTCGGGACAGTGCAACAGCCATAAATACATGCCAGTTGCCAAATACCTGAATTTTGATCACATGACCACGGGGATATTGCAATGGTCGTAAGTGTGAAAACTGGTCTTAAGGAACTTTTTTCAGTGCTGTTGTAACCTTGAAGAGTCACTAAATAAATGTTTGTAAGTCAAGGACTATCTATATATAGGCTATAAATCTGTTTGAAATTGTGTTTTATTGTTCTTTTAGAATATGTAAATTCTATTAAAACAAACAAGATTCAGGTCACAAGACCTGATATATCTGGAGGGCACCAGATTGGTGAATGCTCATTTAGCCACTACTTCACTCTAGTTTTTGATTTAGCAAAAGGAGGAGATTGTGTGCTCATAACAACCACTCTTTTTAAAACTTCATTAATATACAGTCCTTTTATACATTTCCAGTTATCATTATGGCAGTTCTCTATATTGAGATGGTATAAAGACTTTATATCGTAGACCTGAAGAGGAAAAGAACATAATGTACTTTATTGGTTTAGATTCTGGCTAACCTAAATTCTATATTGCATTTAAAATGTATTATTTTGCTGTCTTTGAAACAATTATTTCAACAAACTATGAAATAAAGAAATAATATTGTCAGGATGTTGTCAGTTACCAGGAAAGCTGTCTAAATTTTCATGTTTAACTTTGCAGGTTCACATACTTTTTAACTTTAGTTCTCCATAAAATGAAATCACATTCTCTTTCAGTTAAGAACTTTTATCATGTTTACTGTCAGACAGATGTGATTAATGGATTCAGCTTTTTTTTTTTTATCTTCCCACTGGTAAAAAAAAGTGAACTATTAATCTGTGTAGGCACAAGAGAAACACCTTCTTGCCTTAATTTTCAGTTGATGTTTATTGATAATTGTAGATGTGGTGACATCTGGAAAATGTAGGGTTTTTTTTCTATATGCACACAAATATTTATGGAAGACAGTTGACCGAATGTTGCATCTCTTGAATATTTAGAATCAAAAGCAAAAATGAAGCCAATTAAGTTGAATGAATTTGAGTCATTAGAAAATAAGAAAATATTTTGATGGCTTCTTCTTAGAAAAAGGCACAATGTATGCTTTGTTCATTCATTTTATAGACCACAATGATCTATGGATACAGCATAATTAGTTTTAATAATATAAAATATTAGTTTCCTGAAACCTCATGGTTTCCAACTGGATTTTTCATTATATACACTCAGTCTTTTTAACTTTTGGCATATATGTTCCTAATCTTATGACTAAATGGTTTTAGAATGTGGCCCAACTTGTTTGGAAATACTAAACATAGACTTATCTACAATCAAGAAGAGTGGTCTTTAAAAGCCACATGATTGGAAATTTGGAGATATAATCCCAACATACCCCACCTGGAGGCACACCTGGTATACCTTACTTTATCTCAGAAAAACTAAGTCTGGGCAGATATGATTCATATTTGGATGGCAGACACTGGGAAATACCTGTAGGTAAACATAGAGTGAAAAAAACTTATTGGAAAAAAACAGTGGCAACCATATCCATACTGCTATTGAAAATACATGAATAGTCAGGGAAGTCATCAGAAGTTGAAGAAGACTTTAGTTCTAACTTTTCTGGAGGACAGCAGAATATGAACAAATAATAGATTTCCCCTGCAGTTATCAAGCTAAATATACATATAGATATTATCATGTACTATTAACTGAGTATGAGATTCATGCCTGGAATCTATTATACATGCACACATGTCTTTGTACCTAGTTTGTTTGTTTTTTAAATAAAGTGTACGTGTGTGCGCGTGACCGAATCACTTTTGAGACTGGGAATAGTTTCTAGGAATGGTAGTTTCTGGGAGGACAGACTGAGAGAAGATGTTTCCTTGTTCTTGGTGGGAGAGGTTAGTTATGAGGAAGTTGCAATGATGAAGTGTTGGAGTATTTTGGAGTGTCTTGTCTTATCAAGAACAATTACATAGATTGAAGCATATTTTGGGAAATCTGCCTCCTTTTACCAAGTCCTTTATTATTATTATTTTTAAAAAACAACTATTTTCTAACATGATCTGCATATCTTTATCATAAAGATAACTTTAAAGTAAAATCTGCCTTGAATGCTTTAATTTGCTTCTTCCTCATGGAATATTTCAGTGCTATTTTGTTGATGGCAAAAAAAGGAATTATGTATTTCATATTTCCTTTTGAATTGCTACCTCCCCTTTTATCTACGGAGATTCTCAGTCATCCAGGGCCTGGTTTTCCCAAAAGTGCTTTTTTCAAAAGGCAACTGGACTTTATTTTTCCTTGAAGATGTTTCGCTTTTTATCCAAGAAGCCTCTTCAGTTCTGAAGAACAGCTGAAGAAACATCTTGGATGAGAAGTAAAATGTCTTCAAGGAAACACAAAGTCCAATTGACTTTTGAAAAAAAAAAACACCTCTGGGACCCTTTCTTCACATCAATAGTAGGAGTATGTGTTCATACATTATTTTTCTGTTTTTCCCCATCCTTTTTTCGGCACTAGATTCCATACATCCAATGAAGTTGATTAGAGTCCATAAAAACCTAGAGAATAGCAAACTTCTTAAACTTTAATACGCCACCCACCGCCCAGCTGCTCCTGCTCCTAGAGACTAACATGACTCTTTCTTTAAAAAATAATTCAATCTGCATCTATGAATGTGACAGAATATATCATACTGCATTAAATAAGATTACTTGAAAAACAGTATCATCACAGCATATATTTCTAAATCCTTTTCTTTGTGTATCATATTGAGTTTATTGTGCCAGTTTTCATCATATAAATATAATTTCAAATGGATTGAAATTGATATCGGTTTTGTTTTTTTGACAGGTTTAACATATTAAATGAATGTGTTCACAAGAAAAATATTCATAGAGTATGGGTTCAGAGGATTCTGCCTTTAACTCCATTGTAGCTGTACAGTAAAAAAAAAAAAAGGCAACCCATTGCTAACTAAGTTTTTATTTTATTTTTTCAGTGATGTGCTTGCTTTGCCATTCTTTAAACAAGAAGAGCCTCAACTTTCCCCTGAGAATGATGCAAAACTCCCTCCATTTCAATATGTGCTCTGTGCAGCAACATCTCCTGCCATAAAGCTTCATGAAGAGACTCTGACTTATCTCAACCAAGGTAGGACCAAAACAGAATTGAATGGATTCTGACTGAATTGATTTTTGGTGGTTTGAAGACTAACATATTAACAGAGTTGTAGGTCATCTAGTCCAACCATCCTCCCAATCAGGAGACCCTACACCAGGGTTGTCAAACTCATGGCCTGAGGGCCGCAGGTGTCACGCGCTGGCCATGCTCGTGCCCGGTTTAGCAAAGGGGAAAAAAGTCATGATACATCATGTGATGCTGCTGTGACAATGCAAGTTTGATAGGCTTGCCCTTCACCATTTCTGACAGATGGCAGTCCAGTCTCTTCCTGAAAGCTTCCAGTGGTGAAGCACCCACAGGGCAAGCTGTTCCATTGGTTAATTGCTCGAAACATATGACTAAACATAGCAGACCCTAATTTGGTCTCAAGGCTGCTTGTGCATATCTGGGGGACCAACATAATTTAAGGTATTGTGTGTAAAATGTGCCACAGTGGAGTAGAATTATGCATATTTAAGAAGATTATATATTCACTGCTTCTGTGTTAGGGGCATATTTGACATATGAAAAATATTGTGATTGCCAGTTGCAATGTTGTACTCATTTAACCTTAATTCTTCTGTTAAGGTAAAAAAAAAAACAGCATTTTACTGAATGGTGAGAGATTGTAGATTTTGCTTTGTGACTGCTTAAGACAATACTATCTGGTTACCAAATCTAGGAATCAAAGTGCAATAGAAAAATACAAAACGTACACCATGTAGTATGGAGATTCTGCTATAAAATGCTGGGTAGTACATACCAGTCTTTCCCAGCTAGTTCCCCCTAGGTGTTTAAAATTTATTTCTTTAGAATTCCCATCCAGCATAGCCACCATTTGGCCAGTAATTCTGAGAGTTGTCAGCCAACACGTCTGGAAGACATTTGTGTTGGGTGTATGCATTGTATGAATTGGGGGATGTTGTGTATGATTCTGGGCTTCTTAGATAAAAGATGCAACACAGCAATAAATATTGAGGCCTGAATAGTGATTGGTTTGTGGAAAAAGTATGTTTGTACAGCCCACAGTTCTTAGGTTGAATTTGCATACTATTGATAGTTTATTGCATGAACCCAGTCAGTTGTGCTTTAAGCTATTTTTGGAGATTTCTCTTTCCTTAATAAACGTGTGAATATTTCTCACATATTTTTGTATGTGTATCTGCGTTATATATTCGCTAGAAGCCATGCTTCACACAAACTTAGACTGACAAAATTTAAAATAAGATACTCCATTTTGTAATGAGCCATGATGGTGCAGTGGTTAGAATGCAGTATTGCAGGCTAACTCTACCCACTGCCAGGAGTTTGATCCTTATTGCCTCAAGGTTGACCCAGCCTCCCATCCTTCCAAGGTTGGTAAAATGACCCAGATTGTAGGGGGCAATATGCTGATTCTGTAAACCACTTAAAGAGTGTTGTAAAGCATTATGAAACAGCATATAAGTCTAAAGTGCTATTGATATTTCTAACATCAATACCAATAATTTTCTCTGTAGTAAACACAGAAATATATTCCTTTCTTCTTCTACTACAAATAGCAAAATAATAATAATTTGCATTTATTCACATTTATTTTTCCTGAAATTATAAATTTTCCTGTGAAAAGGAACAGTTTTATTAATGAATGAAAATATTATTTTTAGTTCTCTTTTATTAATATTGATGACAATGCTTCCATAACCTTGTTTGGGGACAAAATTAATTTGTAAATAAAAATATTATGTTTTCAATATGTTCTGTTATTGCTTTTAAAATATTGAATATTATTTATATTTGCTCTTTAGTCTTTTTAATATCAATTCAGTATAAAACCATATCAACTGTAGAATCCAACTTCAAATGGATATTGAAATATATTCATTTTTTTTATTCCTGAAAATAAATTAATTTTAGTAGTAATATAGTGATTTAAGAACTTAGAATTTAATGCTCTACATGGCTTTTTAAAATTAAGTCTATTGGATTCAGTGCATTTTTATCCTAGCTCATTCTAGCAATTCACAAATGCCAAAATCAGTTTTGCACTCTTTGATTTGATACTGGGGACAAGCACTCAGATTGGTCCCCTATGGGTCAATCCTATAATCACTATTTAGTGTGGATGAAATATATTCTGTTTAACAGGAATTAGCTATTTAACAACCACAGTTGGAATTGTTTTTGGAAATATGTAACTAGACATATATAACTAAAACCCTCCCAATATTACTACATGTTTACAAAGCTCTTGTGTAATTAAAAACTGACAGCAACTATATAAATAAGAGTGCTATAAGGATTTACCAAGAACAATATAGTAGTGCTAGAATAATACTTTGGATATACTTTGGATAAGTAGGCATTATGAAAATTGTTAAAAAATTAACTTAATCTATGTTTTATTAAATTAAGGTCAATGCAGTCCTTCATTCTATTTCCTTATTTTCCCCAAATATTATTGGAAATTAAGCCCCAGAGGAAAAATTCCACCTCATAACTTACAGTCCTGTTGAACTATTATTCAAAGATATATTACCATTTTTTCACTTTTTAAAAAACATAAAAGCTAAAGATTCATACTAGATGCATTTTGTAGTAGTAAAATCACATTTTTTATTTTAATTTCCCCTAAACTTAGTGCTGACCAGATGTCATTGCCTCTTTTAAAACTTAACACTAAAAATGGAGAAGAAATTGCCCATTCCTTCTCCATAGCATTAACAAACTGGTAACTTTGTACCCATCCACACCAGTATCTAAATTCAGTTATATTTTAGGCAGAGATTAATATGCTATTATTGTTTTATTCATCCTATTTTTTTCTTGTCTCTGAAATACTCTTCCTGAATCACAGAAAGGAAAAAGTGGGAAGTTTGAACTCTTGATCCCAAAGGTGCTTTTTCCAAAAGCCAAATTTATTTTCTTAGTGAAAATGAAAACGTTTTGAAGAACTTGAAAACATTTTGCTTCTCATCCGTTCAGAACTCAAGAAGCTTCCTGGATGAGAAGCGAAACATTTTCAAAGACAAAAAGCCAAGAAAGCCTAGTTGCCTTTTGGAAAAAGCACCTTTGGGACAACTATGACCTGAATGATTGAGAATCTCCATAGACCTTTGAATAGTAGAAATTAATCCCAATAAAGGGAATAGGGACAGCCATAATAAAAGTTGCAGGCTGGCTCTTTTCCATCACCCAGGATTGAAGCCACTTTCTTCTCCTGTCAGAAATAACCTACAACCCCAATTGTTGATTTGCAGGGCAGGAATCCACTGGATCCTTTTCCTCCTGTGAAAATCATCATGGCAAATAAAAAGCCAAATGAATGTTATATAAATTACTGGCAAAACTACTGCTGCTGCAGTTCTTGGCTCCCCCCCCCCTTTCTCCGCCTTCCCTTTCTATATCATGCCAATTTAACTGAGCCCTCTGGACAGCAATCTGTCTTTATAAAATCTTTACAGTTTGTTCCAAGAGAATTGTAGGCTTCTTCATAACTTTGTACTGTTGAATGTACTGTCTGTGTGAACTCCTGCATTGTGATCAAAAGAAGGCAGATATTAGAATCATAAATCCTTCCTTACAGAAGGAAGGCTTTGCCATATTGTACCAGATATGTAAACCAACACATGCACTCTTTAAAGCTGAAGATATTTTCATTCAGTTCAAAGGATCATTTGTTCTAGGAACTCTCAGACAGTTATTTCTTTGACATAGTCAGTTCATAGAGCATAGTTTAAACATTTCTCAAAAGAAACAGACCATCTTAAAATGGGCTTTTCAAAGAAATTACAGGAAAATTATTATCATTAAATAATATAACATCTCATGCAAAGTTAGGGGAGCTCCTTAGATAAAAGGAGAGTTCTACAAGGAGAAGGTTTCTTAAAACACTTAAGCTTTTCCCAATGTTTATGCAGAAAAATGGAGGCTATAGTTACAGTCATGTATCTTCTGGCTGTAAAGTCACCAATCTATTTCTAAACGGTAAAAAGGTTTATACAATCTGAAGAGAAAACATTTAGTTGTGTAACTATAGCCTCCATTTTGCACAGAATACCAAGGATGAAACATCATTGGGATTTTCAGAAAAAGTACAGAGGTGTTCTGACCCGACTCCCAAACATGACAAGCACACTGTTTTTAACTAAATGTTCCCTTTATTAGGAGCATCAGGAGTCCCAGCCAAAAGTCTCTGTCTCTCTCTCTCACACACAGCAGGCTAACGAAGTCTCTAAGTGCCTGTGGAAAGTGAAGCTTGCTCCCTTTCCCCCTGAAATGGCCCCAACACCCCAAGAGTCTCTCTCTCTCTCTGTCCATACTCTGTGTAAAGGAAATCCTGGAAGGTGCACTCGCTCTTATCCAACAGCAGAGACACACACATACTCATTCAAAAGGCGTGCCCGACTCTCAGCACTGCAGATTCCAAGAAAGAATTCTGATAAAGTTCCAGACAGGATTCAGAAGTTCAGAATATCAGTGGCTGACCGACAGGGAGACAAAATAGTTGTCTGCCACACCCATCATCTCCACCCACTGCCTTTTATCCCCAGAGCTAGGGTGGGGCTTAACTAGGAGTGGTGGGTCTTCTGTCCCAAGTACTGGTCCATAGTTTTCCACTGCTCTCCTCTCCTCTGCTTTCTGCACATTTGCATATCAGGCACTGAACCCTTCCTCCTCTTCCTCATCAGCCACGTCTGGACCTGGTGGCTGTTGCCTTTCCATCTGGGGGCTGATGGATGGTCCAGGCTACGCTTCTGTCTCAATCTCTGAGAAGCTCCATTCCCCGCTTGGAGCTTTCCGGTTGCCTTGAGGCTGGCCCCGATTCTCGCTCCACCTCCTCATCTGATTTGGCAGCCGGAGGGGCCAGCAGCTGACAGGCCACAACAAGAGGGGTGGACTAGAAGACCTCTAAGGTCTCTTCCAATTCCATTATTCTGTTATTCTGCTTGTGCTATCATTACATGACCTGCTGATAGAAATTTCGAATGAAGAACAGAAGCTACAACTGAAGCATAACATGCCAGTGCAGTGTGTGAGATTATGTGCAATTATGTGAATACAGTAGATTAGATTAGATTCAACTTTATTGTCATTTCCATGGATACAGGCAACGAAATGCAGTTAGCATCCAACCAGAAGTGCAAAACAACAGTAAAATATAAATATATGTATGCAAATATGCAAGGCACCTATGAATATGTCAATGGAAAACACAACAAAATGTATGTACACGAGCACACAAGGATAAGTGTGACTGCACATATATGAACATATACAGCTGTACAAAATGTTTATGGACACATTGAATATGTGAATATGTGAATTATGGACACAGAGAATGATACAAAATACATCATATATTATCAAGGGAATCATCAGCATACATGTGGGGACAAATGGACTGAGGAGTTCAGCAAGGAAACCTCTGTGTGGTAAAAGCTGTACAAGCCGCTTCCAAAATGTTCAGCCAGTCTGATATTCAAGGGACATGACATCCAACAGGCCTGGAAACTACCAGGATGGGAAAGTTGTTCTGTTCATAGAAGTATCTAGAGTTTCAACTGGAAAAAGAGTGGAGTGATTAACCAGTTAGCTTTCAATAATTACATCAAATATTCTGACTAATTTCCTATTCTGAAATAACAAAGATTCACACAAATTGTTATCAAAGTTTACTAATTAGGCCCTTTAATCGAGAATGCATTTGTGATGTAAGAATTTAAAAATACTCCCTGGCTTGAAGGCTTTAGCCCTGTTTATCTGTTACAAAATTGAAATAACCCACATCCCCTCACTAACATTTCTCCACTGCAGCTTCTGCTTTCAGGCATTTTGAAGGCGAGGAGCTTCCTCAAGTATAGATGCATTATAAGACTTATACAAAAGTCAACATGTACACATTTCTACACCGGTTGCCTTTTGTCTTGTAGGCATGCAAGTCAACATACTCCAGGGGAAAGATACCACTGGAGCAAGCTTGGCATATGTATTTTAATTATCAAGAGCAGTCCCACAGAATGAGCACTCCTAATTCCGTAAGACATAAACAGTGTTTTTGTAAAATTCAACAAAGCATAAATGCAGTCTGACAGCCACTGATAATTCACTAACTACTGAAGCCATACCATAACATTTGGTTTACACTTTGCATTAAGGCTTGATGCAATTTGTTTAGCTGATTCTTTATTTTAAACCACAATTGATTATTTTCTTATTGATGGCAACTGTGGCCCAATTGATACAAACATACATGGTTTATTGTTTTCTAGCATTTTAGGGCCTGTCGAGGCCCCCAGATAGTCTACTTACTGAAAGTTTAAAAAAGTCAACAAACAAATAATGAATGGAAAAGCTTGGATTTTTCTTTTTTTGCCTTGTTTCTGGTTGGTTCAGCATATTCCATGTCTCTGTGCTTTTATTTCTAATTTATATTATTTTAAAGGAGTTTTTTGGGGGCCCGGAGGGGGGGATTTTATCCTGAAGGGCAAATCTGCTGTCAGGCCTTTCTCAGCTGACAAGATAAAATATTGGAAGAATATACTGTATTTCCCAGGGCACAAAGGCACACAGATAAAGCTGATTTATTGTGGCAGGCCTTTGAGACATTACAAAAGACATGTATTGATTGCAGTGTAACCAATGCGAATTCTATTTATATTACAATCAATATTCAGTTCCCTGCGCCTTTTTCCCACTCATAAAAGCAATTCTCTTGTGAACCCGTGATACAATATCCATTTGTACTTTGTTTTGGAAATGGCCTAATAGCAGGCGGTTTTACTTTTGATTGGCTCAGCTTGTGGGAAACCATAGTAAGAAAAGAGGGAGTATGAACACAGTTTATGGTTTGTTTAGCGACTGCCTCATTTAACAGTGATTTATTTATTTGTTTGTTTGTTTGTTTAGAACATTTTTATAGATACCTGTCTTCTACCAAACGCTAGGCAGCTCCCAATCAAGAATTAAGGTTACATAAAAAACTACAGGTAGTCCTCGACTTACAACAGTTTGTTTAATGACTATTCAAAGTTACAACTGCCTGGACTTATGACCATTTTTCACACTTACAACCATTGCGGCATCCCTAGGATCATGCAATCAAAATTCAGACACTTGGCAACCAACTCATATTTATGACGGTTGCAGTGCCCCAGGGAGTCATGCGATCACTTTTTGTGACCATCTGACAAATAAAGTCAATGGGGAAGCCAGATTTTACTTAGCAACCATGTTACCCATTTCACAACTTCAGTGATTCCCTTAACAACTGTGGCAAGAAAGGTCATAAAATGGGGGAAAATTCACTTAACAAATGTTTCACTTAGCAACATAAATTTGGGGCTTCGTGGTGGCCGTAAGTTGAGGACTACCTGCATTAAAGCCATATTAAAACCATAAACATTAGAAACAACCATAACAAAAAAGAACTGGTGCCAAGTCAAACTTCCAACATGCAGTCAGCTCATCCTATCCCAGCTCTATGGGATCAAGCCAGGTCTTCAGGGATTGTGGCGAATGTGTTCTGGAGGGAATCTCTTCTTATTCTTGATAATCTTAATAAAGCGTATGTAGTTATTGTAAACAAAGCTTTATGTGGAACACCTGGTTTTTTTTCCTTTTTTTTGCTCTATTCGTTTCCAATAAAGGAAGAGCTATGATTATACCTTTTTTTTTTGCTTTTTTCAGAGAGTTTTGTCTTATTCTTGAACTCTTATTCAGCCATAGCTAATTCCATAATTCTCAGAGTCCGTATCATTAGAAGTTTGGTGTAAAGCAAACTTTGGGTAACAAAAACAAAAACAAAAAACACACCCCACTATTATTTCAGAACAAAATTCCAGAAATGTAACTTTTTTTTTTCTTTTCCCTGCATAAGAAAAAGATTTTTTGTTTTTTTAAAAAAAGATCAACTTCACTGGTCAAACCAGAAGTCATACTGATTATCATTTTAGATTGTTATACACTGAACTGCATTCTTGTACAAGGAGGGGAAGTGATTAGAAGAAGAACTTGAAAAGCCAGTTTCTCTGTGTCTGCTTCTTGTTTTATTGTATTTATAATTTTTTCTTGTTCCCAACATTTGGTTACCAAACAAACAGTAATATATCCAAAATAAACACATTTATATTTCTGATTAAACTTATGTACATGGAAATACATGCCAAATTCTTACCCTGACGATAGAAGAACAGATTTAATTCCCAAGGGGTCTTGAATTGCACCAAACTCTTATAGTTAATTGTATAGTTTTGAACTATTTTGAAAGATGATTGACCAGGTTGAACTATGTTTCTAATAGCAACATGTGACAAGCTTAATACCAAACAAATGTTGAAGGCTATTTCTAAAATAAATGAAAAGTCATTGCTATTTACTAAAAACACACCTGCTCATTTCATGCTGAGGGTTTTTGTGATAGATCCGTTTAAAGATCTGATCTTGTCTTTGGGTTCTCATCCATTGCTTCTCAGAAAGCTAGTAAATAATCCAAAAAAGAAGAAACAAATCATCATTATACCTGCTTTTTAATTAAAGTAATGATATGAAGTCCAGTTTTAGGTCATTGCTTGAATTCTCTGGACTGCTTACTATTTACCATTCATCTTTGTGCAGTTAGCTCTTGGAAAACAGAAATAATACAAATTTATACATGATTATTCAAACGTGTAAGGGGATGCGGTGGTTCAGTGGCTAAGACGCCAAGCTTGTTGATCAGAAAGGTCGGCAGTTTGGTGGTTTGAATCCCTAGCATCGCGTAATGGAACACACTCCCATTACTTCTCCCAGCTTCTGCTAACCTAGCAGTTCAAAAGCATGAAAAAATGCAAGTAGAAAAATAGGGACCACTTTAGTGGGAAGGTAACAGCGTTCCGAGCTCCTTCAGCATTTAGTCATGCTGGCCACATGACCACGGAGATGTCTTTGGACAGTCCTGGCTCTTTGGCTTTGTAACAGAGATGAGCACATATGTGCGAGGGGAATCTTTACCTTTATCTTACTCAAAAGTGCCCAATGGGGATTATCCCCTTATTTTAGGATTAGACACACGGCCCAGGGCTATAGGTAGTAACCTCTCCTGAAAATTCCTGAAGCAAAGATCCATTAGTCAATTCTATGGATTTAAATGGTAGAATATCTCATTCTGAGGGTGCAACACAATTTAAAAAACGACATATTGCTGAAACAATGATAGAAAAATATTCAAGAATACTTGTGTATTCTTGGAGCTGCAGCTGGTTTGAAAGATGTAGCTGTTTAAGAAGATTTCTTCCAGATGACAAATAGACCATGTAATATGCTTCCAGTTGTCTTGGAAGGAATTAGAAGGCCCCAAATTCTTGGAATATCCACATCATTGATTAAAAAAAAATACAATATTTAAATTAAGCATAAGTTGCAATAATGTCTGACCTTTTATTAGGAGAAAATTGTCAAAAACAACAACATCTCCAAAGCATCTCTCCCAAATATGATTGATGCCGTTGCAACTGTCTCTTGCTATTCTTGCTGCAACATGCTTAAACAACTTGGAAATGTTTCCTTGAACTCCTAGGTCAGTCATATGAAATCCGTCTACTTGAGAATAGGAAATTGGGAGAGTTTCAAGATTTAAGCACAAAATATGTAAAGGTAAGGATATTTTCTTCCTGCTGCCAAATGTAAGAGCTACTGGATATAGATTATGCTGCTGGAAAATATTTTAAGGGTATATGAGCCATAGTGGTTTCTCTGTTTCCTGATTTACTTAGAAATAATGAGAATTTCAGGGTTTGGGGTACATTTTCTAAATTCCCCGACTACCATGAACAATTTCTTCATAAATTATTTGTATTTAACCTGTGCCTTTCTGCCAGATTCACTTTACATGTTGGAATATTCCACAGTCAATTCTTGATGCAGTTTTTGTACATTGTATATTGTCTGCTAAGTTTAGAACCTGAATGAATCCAGGATTCTTTCATATTTTACATTATATTTCATGATGCATAAATCATTTTTAAGGAAACCTGAATACCCATTGTCTTCAAATCTCAAAGAATAAATACTGTTTGAAAACAACTGATGTACACCTTTTGGTCTTCTGATCACAAGGTTAGATATATTATGGACTTCTTGACTCCATCCTTATTTGCAACAGTGAAATATCTATTAAAGATCAAATCAAGAGGTACTGATTATTTTCATTGCAGGTATATACAAACCATAACTAGGTAAGACTGTCTTTGCACCACTGCTGCCATTCATAATATTGACCTATAAAGGGTAGTTTTTTGACAACATCCAGAGTTTGCCACATTTGCCCCAGTGTATGAAAATAGAAATTGTTGTCTACTTGGATAGACTTGTAAATTTATGACTTGAGAATTTATTACTATAAATTGGAGTTTTACTATTACTTAAGAATTCAATGTTCGTTTATATATTGCATTTTAGAATAAAAAATATATATATCATGTAATAAAATGACTGCATATTTATGTTCTGTCTAAAGAAATGTACATAAACTTCATGAATTGCACTGGAATTTTAACAAGTTACTTTGCAACCAGAGGCACAACCTACAAAATGCCATTGGATCCTCAACGCATCTAATTCAAAATACACCTGCAAGACTAGTTCATAACATGGAAATCAATATCTAAAACACAGATTGTTTTTGATCTCTATCGGCCTGTTCATTTGGATATAAAACTTCTAAGATCTTCTCCCTTAATAAATGGTCTGATTAAATAAAGACAAATGATTAATATCCTATATTATAAAAGCACTCACTTTTATCTTTTGACAGTTCCTGGAAATTTCAGAGTATTGATCTCCATTCTATTACTCAATCTTTCATCAAATATTTCACTTTCTTGATGTTTAGTTCTTTCAAGGATTTGTTAAAAACAAGTAGTGACAGTAAGATATGATTTACAAAATGGGATGTATCTTGTTTGCAATGGATATCACATGACAAGACACCGTAGCACTAAACAATACAGTTTTCCAGATTGCATATTGTTGTCAGTATATTTGGAATAGAAGTTTTATTTTATTTTAATTAAAATATTCTTCTTTATGGTGATGGATGATTTCTGCGCATCCCACTTAAATAAAATTCACATTACAAGTCTTCTATAAGCTTTGTCCTAGAAGTAGAAATTGTAATTTCTTTAAAATACTTGCATCTAGCTTCTTTTATTATTTCATCCACTTTTCTCCCCACAGAGCATTATTCGGGTAGTTTTTCATGATCGGCGTTTGCAATATACTGAGCACCAACAGCTAGAAGGCTGGAGATGGAATCGGCCTGGAGACCGCATTCTTGACATAGGTAAGAACTTTTCATTATGATATCCATTGCTTCTTTCATGAATGTATGACTTGCCTGTGAAATACAGCAGGTATAAAGAACACTTTGTTCTTTATACTTGTTGTAATATTTACGAATTGGAAAATAGTTGGTTCTTTATACCTGTTGTAATATTTATGAATTGGAAAATACTTGGTATCTTGAAATAACCAATAAGGTTTTGCTTTTGTTAGATTTCATTCCAGTATCAATGAAATGTTTGGTTTTTTTGCATTAATGTATTTATTTCTCACCTTTTAGGTAAAGGCTGTTAGAAAAGTGGCTTTTATATAACCATATCCATTTTTGCTGATAGTACAATAAACAAACTCTTTACCTGTACTATGAAAGCCAGAAGAGGTATTAATAGGGTAGGATAACTTTAGTTCCCCAGGACTATAAAATACAACTCCAGGAATCCATTTCACATGGAAAAGCTCAGACCAAGTTTCTTACTCTGCAGCTAGTTGTGTCAGGCTGGTCTTTCAAATGCATCTGGTGTTTATATTGCAATGTTTCTGGTCTTCAATTTTTAATTTTTTTAATATTTTAGGGGTTTTCTTCTACAGATATCCCACTGTCCGTTGGTATCTTAGATCCCAGAGCAAGTCCCACCCAGCTGAATACAGTTGAATTTCTATGGGATCCATCTAAGAGAGCATCTGCATTTATTCAGGTAAGGAAAGAAAACACCCCTAAGTGGAATATGTTTTACCTCAGACCATTAGAGGGCATCATTCTTTCATGTTCTTTGGGATATATTTGATTGAAATGATATGGAATTGAGAAACTAAGAATTTTATTTCAGCCTCCCTTTAACTTTAATTGGTATTCCTTTCTGTATTGCCCAGAAATCAGACCAAATCAAAATAAACAATTCGATATAATTTAAAATGAAATTGGAATCTTTATGTCAATGATAAATTGTGAGAAGATAGTAAAAATAGAATTATACAGCGCATTTAACAGTGACACTCCACCTCTGGGGTCTTGTATGCACATTTTGCAATTTGAAGAATAGCTGCTATAAAAATGAGATTGTTCATAAAATAACACTTCTAAGGGCATGAATGTTTACTAAATGGGCAGGACAGATCACCCTTAACTAATGTTTGAAAATCAGTTCTTTTCAAAACTGTTTTTTTTTCTTTACAGTAAGTGTATTTGTTTTTTTTTAATTAGGGCTCTGAATTGCTGAGCATGAAACCCCCTTTGGGACTATAAATTATATTTATCAGCTGAGCATCCAGAGCACCTTGGTTGACCCTGCCAGGGTGGAGGATAGGAGAAGTGATGATGCTGTCAAGACGGGAGAATGGATGGGCTACCTGCAGCTCAGGCTGCGTAACAGAGGGGCACGATGATGAGAGTGTTGCGGGCTGGCTGAGGACTAGACATGACTGCTCATCACCCTCTTGACAGCAGATATGCTACCAAAGTACATAGAGTCCCCTTCTTGCCTTACTTCACCATTTCCATCAGATTCACCCACTTGTACTGAAGGGAAATTGCCTGACATGCAAGGATGTAAGAACAGGTATAGGTAGTCCTCAACCTAAGACCGCAATTGAGCCCAAGATTTATGTTGCTAGGCGACACCATTGTTAAGTGGGTTTTGCCACATCTTATGACATTTCTTGCCATAGTCATTAAGTGAATCATTGCATTTGTTAAGTTAGTCACACTGTTGTTAACTGGATCTGGCTTCCCCACTGACTTTGCTTGTCAGAAGGTTGCAGAAGGTGATCACATGGCCTCAGGACATTGCAACCATCATAAATTCCCCACATAAGGCTTGTTAAATACTTCAACAAGCAAATCCAAAACCCAAATCTCAAACAGCGTGATTTGGGATTTGAGCGCTAAGTACATCTCTTTTGGCTAGGTGCATTGTATTAGTACGGAATTTACTCCAAGGAAACATGGAGGAGAGAAAGGGGTACCGTTCCGAATACAAATGGATACGTTTAAACAGAATGAAAATGGGGAGTATACAGAACACTTGCATTCTGCCAGCTGCCAGATCAAAGTATTTAAGGTAGGTGGCTAATTTCTTCTATTAATTTTGTGACATAAGAAGATGCTACAAATGACATTTCTCCCCCCCCCCCCCCCTTTACTTCATTATTCTTGAAAAAAGGATGGTTGGACAGATATGAGGGGATCTGTAGGCTCTCAGAAAACAAGCGTATATGGAATTTAAATTGGCACAATTGGGGGTGGGGAGAGATTGTTCTGTGAAAATTACAGATAACCACATATTAAATTTTGGATTTTTAAATTAATTTTTGACATCTCTTTTCTTCCTTCTGGTGATCATTCCCCACTTTTTGTCAGTTATTCAATTTTCTCTATATGGCCCCTTCACCTCTTAGTTCATTGAAAAGCTCCCTGTGCATCCAGAACTGATTCCTAATCTCTTTCCATTTTTTTCCCTCATTAGAATGGGATACAATTTTACTTCCAATATCTTATTACCAACCTGTACTTCATTGGATGTAACGATCTCTATTCATGGGATCCTACCTAGTATTTCTCAAATTCTGGAAAAATTGGCTCTCCTGAACTCTAGCGTGAATGAATGACTGCTTTAGTTTTTATTTTTATATAACTTGAACATGGCCACTTTCTCATTGCTTTTACTTTTTTGGTAACCACTCTCAAATGTTTAATCTAGGAATTTCTTGTCTGAAAAATGGAAGTCAGCAAGCCCAACTCTGAAGATCTTGCAGTGCTGACTTTGTTTGTTTCCAACTGTGTTCTGGATGGTTGAATTCTTCTATTATTACCATGTTTCTTCTCTCTGGAAGTTCTTTAAGATATCTAAAGTCTGACTTGGTAATCGATAGCACACCATCATCATATTATTTCCATGATTTTCCCTTCCTTGTATTCTTATAAAGTGCTTCCAAGTAGACTCATGCTAAAATTCCTGGCTATCAGCACGTATGAAGCTACTCTTTCTCCTCTTTTGTCTGGCATAGTACTTTGGAGTAAGTTACGGTATATCATTCAATCCCTACATTTCACTCATGAGTTTCATCCTACCAGATTTTGTAATGTTGTCTATATCATATTTGCATTTAGACTCCTACTTCTTTCTGTTTGTTCCCTAAAATTTGTGCATTTATACTGTATAAAGATCCTTGACTCATGTGACTTGGCCTATTTCTTCCTGAATATATGTGTTCATTATTGTGTGATTCCATGTCCTACATCCCACTTCAGATCAATTCCAGGAACAACACATGCTGAAATAAAAGTGTTATAAAAATCTAATACTGGTAAATAAATAAAAGCTAGAAACAAAATTGAATTCTAACTATTATGGAGCAAATTGGAATATTAGCCAACAATGATTAACATAATAGATTATATCCATCTGAATGAAGGCGGGCATGTCTCTGTATATATTTATGCAGTTTTGATGTTTGGAATGGAGAGTGTGATACAAATACTTTATTGGGATATTATTTTATATGCAAAAAAGTTAAAATTATAAAAGGCAGTTCTCCAATAAAAATCCTCTCTGCCATAAAATTCCCTTGATGAATAATCACTTTAATAATTCCAGTATCTGTGAACCTTCTAAGTTTGATGAGTTACTAAACTCTTAAGGTTTGAAGAAAAAAGCAGGAATTGTCTTGTTCACCATGATGCCATTGCTAGTGGAAAGTATCCTTCAGGAAGGATGGAGAAACTTTAGCACCCTCTACATATTGTTGAACTACCAGCATTTCTCACCAGAGCCAAGATTTAGAATTCAACACCACGTGTAACAAATTGCCCATGCCAGTTTTACAAAAATAAATTTCTATCCTATATCTCATGGCACATGTACACAAGGGAAGAATGTCCATTAAATTATGCCTCAATGTCACTTTATCATCAATCAATAAAAAACTTTTGCAGTTTATGTTTAACAATCCTTTACTTAAGACAAACTAAATTTGTATGTGCTTTTATAGCCTAAAGGAGCAGATAGGAAACAGAAAACAGACAGAGAAAAAATGGAGAAGAAAACCACTCAAGAAAGGGAGAAATATCAGCCTTCCTATGATACAACCATTCTCACTGAGGTACCACTGTCCTAGAGTTGCAGTGTTTTATGGTTATTACTTGCAAAAGACTGCATATTTTATATGTATAAAAGGCAATATTGTGGAGTGTTCAATTTTGAAGTAAAATGATACAATGGGTAAAGTCTAAACAGGACACTGTTGCATTTTTAGATTCGATGGTGCTCAGTATGACCTGCTTGACCCTTATTTAAAACTACTATATCCTAATATTGATGCTTCCTAAAGTTCCAAAGAGCTGAAAAGGATGTTCTGCTGGATTTTGAAATATCAGGGTAGCCAATAATCTTCCTATGCCAATTGGAATCAGTTACTTAAAGTGTCCCCACTTGGATACTAAGGTAATTTTCTAAAATCCACAGGCTTAACCCTATCTTTAGATGCAGTGAAGAAGCCACTTTTGGCAATGAATTGAGGTAAAGTTCCCACCCATTCCCCTTCCAACCTGCCACCGGAATAATAAGTAATAATCACTTTTTTGCATCTCAGGCTGCATGTTCAATTATAGTGTAATTTCAAAATGCATAATTCTGCAGACCTCCTCAAAATGATACTCACAATGTGCCAGGCTGGGTGTACAAAAGGAGAATGGTTGTGCTGTTGTGCTGGGGAAATAATATGTGAGAAGGAACCACAATCCTCTTGATGAGTACCTCCACTGAAGGAGAGGGATTGCTAGTAGAAACAGAGCCTTAACAATGGGGCATCCAGATTAGACTGACTTCCCTAGAGAGGTTTACTTATGTATATTGTATATTCTTTCAGCACACAGTGAAGGTCTTCTGATGATCTCAGTTTTTAAAAATCTTTAAAAATAATTATTTGATCTTATTGTGTTATCCTCTGCTTACTTCTATCTTCAAGGTATTCCCCCCTTCAATTCTTCTAATTCATTCTAGATTTTGTGTTTTATTTGTGCAGTTCATTTCATTTCATTATTGCACAATCTAAACAAACAAATGTAAAAACAGATCAATAGCAGATATTTTCTCTGTCTGCGGGGAAGTTTTGGTCTCATTCTTCTCTTGAGACTTAATTGGACTTTGACATTTTAGTCTTAAAGTTCACATTGCTGCAAGACCCAGATTAAACAAACATTGAGAAAGTAGGGTAAAGTTAAATGTTTAAAGAAGAGCTGAAACACATTTGCTGTTTCATTCATGGAACCTTTTATATCTGTCTGTGTCATTTAGCCAGCACATTATGGGTCCTAATGGCTGAGGTCAGTGAGACCTCTGCCTGGAAAGTGACCTAGTTTTAAAGACCTACTAGATTGACATGGTCTGCTGTTGATGAGAATGACCTTTAGCACCTTAAAGCAGGAAGTCATATAGTCCTTGTTCCAAAAAAGTTAAATATTTACTAATGTTTGTATTTACCATGAAGAGAAATCTTAAGTTAATGCACAGGTTGCCTCTTGTATCACTGAAAATGAATGGCGAAATCCTTTCAGTTGTCCCAGTTGTGGCACCCCTTACAGCCAGTAGCAAATCTACAGTATGGATAATATGATAATATAAGATATTCCTGTAAGGAAGTGTGGTTGGAGGAGAAGCAGGGAATCTCCAGCTGCACAAACATCTACTTTTACAACATTAGATTCTGCTAAAAATTTAGTTATACAAAATATAATAGTTTAAGCATAGGTTAAAAATTATTTCCATGTCAAAAGGGAGTGGATAGATTTGTGTTAGCTTTCTTGTAAGGCCCACTGCATATTTTAAATATAACATGATTATATATAGCAAAGAGGGCTTGAAATGTGTTATATTCTATATTTATAAATTGGCAACCCCTTTCCCCCACTGAATATACAATTTAAGTAGGGCTTTTTATTTGTTCTGTATGTATGTATGTATGTATGTATGTATGTATATTTGCTGTTGATGATCCAACAAAAGCTAGTTTGGATTTTCTTTCTCAACACATTGGTTTTGTTTGCACAGTGTTCCCCATGGCCAGATGTGCCTTATCAAGTGAACAACACTCCATCTCCCAATTACAACAGCTCTCCAAACAGTTTCAGCCTTGGAGATGGGTAGGTGATAATATTTTTGTATTTTCTGCTGACAGAGGCAACCAGTTTTGAGATTTTATGGTCGTGTGTTCTAAACACTTCCGAATATAAAAGATTAGGAAGCTTAACCTGGCTTTCAGGCCCAGCTTAATGTTGATGGACTGAGATTGTAAGATCCATTCCTCTGCAGCTGAACTCTTGAATAACATTGGCTTATTTCAGAGGTCTCCAAATTTATTTGCTATTGATGATCCAACAAAAGCTAGTTTTAAAATAGAATGAGATTGCAGTTTTGGATTTTCTTTCTCAACACTTAGCTGGCTGGAGAATTCTGGGAGTTGAAGTCCACAAGTCTTAAAGTTGCCAAGTTTGGGGATCCCTGCCTTATTTGAAAGCTATTTACATAAGAGAGAATACATGCAAGAAAGTTTTTAGATGATCCCCCCACCCCCATTGTTAGGGGAAAAGGCAATGTTTTAATTTATTTTAGAGATACATATCTATTCCTTCTTCAAGAACCATAAGATGTAATATGCAACCTATTCCCTCCATTTTAGCTTTGTAACAAAAGAGTGTGTTGGGCTGGGGATGGCGGTTTGCTTAGTTCTATAACAAGCTATAAGGCTAAATAAAGATCTGGACATGATTTCCCTCCATCTGATCTATAAACCTGGATCTCACGATCTTGCCATCATAAATTAATGTAAGCCACTTCAAACCTTGCTAGAATCGTAATCTACAATGGCAATGATCTTATTTATATATTCGTTTTTAAAATACGACCACCCATCTTATGAGCCATAGCTCTCAACAATACTAAAACTCCAGAAACAGTAATACAGCCTGATATTCCCCAATATATCACCAAAATATGGGCCCTGGGCTCTGACCTCATCCTATCCCATGCTTGTGGGGAAAACCAGCGGTTTAGAACTTTCTGGAAATCAAAAAAGGGAGAGCGTCTTCATAGGCATACTTCATAGAACCTGCTAGGTAACAACTTTTGAGAGAAAAGACCTAGCTCATGCCAAAGCTTTTTCTACTATTTGAATGAGATTTAGCTAAAAATCAGCTAAAAATCAAAATGCAGTTTAGATATTTTATTTTAAAACTTCATTGAGGTCATTAACCAGCACAGATAAGACTCAAGCAGCCCTTGTTCAAACCAGGACCAGGTGTCTTTTCATGGTTCACATTTAGAAATAATAATAATAATAATAATAATAATAATAATAATAATAATAATAA